TATATATATATATATATTGAAAAGGAAAAGTCTGCACCTGGATCAGATAACGTACGCCCTCCTAAAGAGGACTGAAAGCAATATTAGACTTATTTACAAAAAAGGCGAAATCGACATTCCAGAAAAATTTCCGCATCATAGCTCTCACATCATGTATAGGGAAGGTTTTCCATCAAATCTTGGCTCAAAGACTTGAAAAAGTCATAGTTGAAAATTCACTTATCAATCCTAACATTCAGAAAGCCTTTTTGCATGGTATTAATGGATGTGTTGATCATAACACAGTTCTTCATGAAATTATCAGGCATGCCAAAGCCAAATGCAAAACCGTCCACATCACCTGGTTTGACCTGGAGGATGCCTTCGGAAGTGTTCCCCATTCTCTTGTCCACGACTCTCTAGACCGCAGCCATATCCCTCCATTAGTTAAAAACTACATTAAAAACCTCTACTCAAATCTCTCTGGCAAGATTAATACAAAAGATTGGACCTCTGAACCTTTCCAATTTTCTAAAGGCATCTTCCAGGGAGACCCATTGTCCCCCATTATATTTTTGCTGTGTTTCGACCCACTTATTCAATCCATCCAATTGGAGGTCTCCTGTGGCTACGAGTTAAACGGCACTAACATTATCACTACACCATTTGCAGATGACTTCTGCCTCATTTCAAGAAGTAAAAGAACACACCAGAGATTAATAAACAAAATACTGGCTCATAGCAAATCCACGGGACTAAAGCTCAAATCACGAAAGTGCCGCACACTCTCGATTTGCCGCGGGAGGCCTACCAATATTCAATACAACCTTGGGGATAATATTATCCCTTCGATTGAGGTCGAACCACACAAATTTCTAGGCTCTATCATTACATTTAGGAATGCCGATGATGACGTATTTGATTACTTGTGTGATCTTATTGGACAGGGCATCAACAAAATAAATGATTCCCTTATTAGGCCGGAATTCAAGCTGAAAATTTACTCGCAGTATTTTCTGCCGAGCTTAAGATTCCATGTTACAGTGAATGATATCACATCCACCCAGCTTGGAAAGCTTGATGCCCTGTCAAATAGGTTCGTAAAATCATGGTTTGGCATGCCCAGATGTGCTACTATAGCCTTCATTCACATGCCCAAGGGATTTGACATTCCCAACATTTCTGAACTCTACAAAGAATGCCATCTCATTGCGCATCTCTCTTCCAGAATCAAGTCTGGTGCAATGGTAAACCATTGTCTTGATTCCAGGGTTGAAAGAGAAGGGAACTGGAACAAGATCTCTCTTACCAACCAATTTGAAAGTTTAACAAAAAAAAACGCCTTGGCCAAGCACAATAACTTACCCCTCCACAAAGTAAAAGCCAAAGTAAAAAATACACTGAAGGCAGAAGTTCAGAAATGTTGGGATAACCACGTCAAAACTCTCTTGGTCCAGGGAAGGTTTTATGAACTTGTGTCTCTTGAAGATCAATCCACTCATTGGAAATATATCTGCTACAATCTCCCGCTTGGCATTCTTAAATTTCTCTCCAACGCCGTCGGAGATACCCTCAATACTCGGATTAACCTTGCCAAGTGGGGAAAAAGGATTTCAGATAAATGCCCTTCCTGTGGGATCCGAGAGACCCTCCATCACATTCCTAATTTTTGCAAACCTTCACTGGACCAAGGGAGATATACTTGGCGCCACAACAATATTCTCATATATATGTCTGATACCCTAAAGATGGGACTTCCCCCTGATTCCGTCCGTTGCGACCTTGTTTCCGGTGCCTCGAATATCCCTCATCCATCAACGGTCACGATGAAGTGCACCACTACCAACCTCATCCCTGACAAAAATCCAAATCATTGACACTTGTCGAACTCTCTTTCCCATTTGAGACGGGCATTGCTAATGCCCATAATTTTAAGTGCAATAAGTACACCCCGTTGATTAACGACATTCGAGACTCCGGACACACTGATAATTTGCTTGCCATCGAAATCGGCTCATGTGGGTTCATATCTCATGAAAATGAAAAAAAAATCGGCTGAAAACAATCCACTCTCTCTGCAATAGGCCGCTTCAATTCAAAGATTTTAAACAAACAATCTCTCTTGCAATAATATCTTCTTTCAGTATTTTCCACCACGAAGATGAACCCACTTGGACCGATCCACCCTTACTTAAGATTTAAATAAACCTTTCCATTTCTGGCTTAAATAATGCAGCGGGAATCCTCAGGGGCTAAATGTGCAACTTATTGGTGACGTATTTGTCTGTCTTCCTGTGTTCTTTGTCTTCTTGTCCGTTTTGTTTTTGTCATTGTTTGGGCTCTGCCTCTCCCTTGCGCGTGTTATTCCTTTGAATATACTTTGCCACTTGTCTAGGGAGTATTTATATGTTTCCTTTTATTTTTTCGAAATCACAGTTTATACGTTGCCACTTGTCTAGGGAGTATTTATATGTTTCCTTTTATTTTTCGAAATCACAATTTATAAATTTGTGATTTGTGACTTTTTATATTTTTATATTATATTTTTATATTGCATATATTTTTGATATTTGAAATAAAAGTGATCTAATAAAAACATACACACATACACACACAATGGGGAGGGTAAGAAAGAATACCTTAAGGCGAAAATACTGCCGATAAGGGGAAATTTTAACGACGTTGTAGCACAGACTTCTTTAGGAGTTACTTCGTTTAATTTTGGCAGGAACATATGTACAATAATATGACCCTTATTTATTCTAAAATTACAGTTACACTTTTGTGAAGTCCTGTAGTTTCTTTAAGTAAGTCAATTTCTTATTTTTCTGAAAGTATAGTCATAATGTTCAGTGAAAACTACCAAATTAGTTGAAATTGTCACTGTCCCTATACAACAGAACCCCTATTTAGGGGACACCTCCGAGACCAGAAAAAGTGTCCCCTTAATAGGGTGTCCCCAGAATAGGGGTACCACTATACACTAACCAAAAACGCAAAATTGTCCCCTTAATAGGAGTTTTTGGCATGTTTTCATACAACGATGACATACATTCTGTATAATTTTAATTTTATTGACATTATATTAGCTAAGTAAAATATGAACTGATTTATTATAGCAACAATTTGCAATACAAATACAATTAATTTTAAAATATGAAATCAGCACAAATGTAATTAAATCAATAGTTTTATATGTACAAGCGGTTTGCTTGTGTTCTTGTGCAAGGCTCTTTATCTGCATTGCTTCTCCTGTAATCACCTGTAATTACCTGTCTTGTCGGGCTCGTAGGTAGACCATACATGCCTGCAAGCCCAGGCTTACCTCTAGCACGTATAATCATTGCAAAGATTGTATTGTAGAGTGAACCATTTTAAACGCCATTTTAAACGCTGCGTATTCCATGGTAAAGTTCATGACCGCCAAATACGTAAAAACGGGCACCTGAACTCAGCATTTACAGGGCTCGATACAGGTCGGTACAAAAGTTACAGCTTTCGAATTGGGGATGCGACCCATTCCACATTACTCTAGGCGAATTTATTCGCGCGAATCGAAATGTCGGTTCGCTTCCTGAAGCTTGTTTTCCACTAGGCGAATTTATTCGCGCGAATCAAAGCGTCGGTTTGCTTCCTGATTGGTTGCGAATTTTTTCGCTAGCAAAAACTCCGATAGAAATGTGAATGCGCATGTGCATGAGTAGCCCCTTTCCATTCGCGCGAATAAATTCGCCAAGTGGAAACCAGCTTTAAGCCGGTTTTCCACTAGGCGAATTTATTCGCGCAAATCAAAAAGCGTCAGTTCATGCGCATGTGCAGTTACATCCCTATCGTAGTTTTGCAAAGCGAAAAAATGCGCAACCAATCAGAGCTCAGAAAGAGAACCGACGCTTTGATTCGCGCGAATAAATTCGTGTAGTGGAAACCAGCTTCAGTTGTGATTGGTTGCGCATTTTTTCGCTTCGCAAAAACTCCGGGAGAAATGTAAACGCGCATTCGCATAAACCAACGCTTTCGATTCGCGCTAATAAATTCGCCTAGTGGAAAACCGGCTTTTTGGGGATTGCGGATAACCTTATAAAACAGTATTGGTAAATGGAATTCGTCGGCAATGAACCAGTATATTCGAATTCAGTCCTTCAATTCCTAACTCGGTGGACCATCCAGTCCTCTCCTGCGGGTGGATTTCCCTTGTCTGGATGGTAACCCATCTAGGATGGGTTTTTGGCGTTGTCACCCAGACTCAAAATTATTTGACTAGTTTACTAATGGACCTATTATTTAATTATATTTAAATCATACCTACGTTTTGAATTTGAATTACATTTTAAAGAAATTAGAACTATACTTGGAAAACTTGAACTACGTTTTGAAAAACTTTATTTTGGGAAAATAGAATTACATTTTGAGAAATTTACCCCTATGTTTTGATGAATTTTTCAATTACATTTTTACTTTAACATGGACTTTTGCTGCGTATGGAACCCCATACCTCGTGTCTGCTAGATTTAGTCTTTACACTACCTCAGATCCATTCATGGCAACGACTAGGACGCCTTCTCCAAAAAGTGATTATTTTTTTGCAAAGATCTAAAGCCGGTTTTCCACTAGGCGAATTTATGCGCGCGAATCGAAAGTATCGGTTCATGTGTATGCGTATTCACATTCCTATCGGAGTTTTTGCGAAGCGAAAAAAATGCGCAACCAATCAGAGCTCAGGAAGCGAACCGACGCTTTGATTCGCGAGAATAAATTCGTCTAGTGGAAAACCAGCTAAAAGCCTGTTTTCCACTAGGTTCCACTAGGCGAATTTATGCGCATGAATCGAAAGCGTCGGCTTATGTGCAAGCGCATTCACATTTATATCGGCGTTTTTGTGAAGCGAAAAAATGCGCAACCAATCAGAGCTCAGGAAGCTAACCGCCGCTGCCGATTCGCGCGAATAATTCGCCTAACACAAGATGGTGTTCTCCGCGATTTCTGCTTGCAAATTCTGTAATAAAAATGAAAATGTTTGAACTTTGACCATAGCGACTAGAACGCCCTCTCCCAAAAGTGATTACTTTCCTGTGTCAAATTGGCGCTTCTCTTTGTTACGTGTAAATTGCGGAGAACGCCATTTTGTCTTTAAAAGATCATTGCTTTTCTGTGCCAAATCGACGCTACTATTTGTTACGCGTAAATTGCGGGGAACGCCATCTTATGTTTATAAGATCATTGATGTGTTCAAAAAGTTTGTTAAACAATGGAAACCATGCATTCTTGCTTTTTCTAAATGTGCTCAAATGTTTTAATCGATGAAGTCAGACAGACATAGAATAGCTATTTGAGCAAAGATAATACAAGATAAAAGAGCAGCTGCAATTATAACCTTTGACATGTGTGTTTACTTATTATCTATTAATAAAACACTTAGTTAGAAATAGTTTATTATTAAAATTTAATTTATCTTTCAGGGAGTCAAATTCACAACTGTAACATGGGTATAGTTGCTGGAGTAGTCGTTGATGTAACAGTGACTGCAGCATCGGCAGCAGCAGAGGCCGCGGCAGGAGCAGCAGCAGAGGCAGCGGCAGAGGCAGCAACAGAGGCAGCGGCAGAGGCAGCAGCAGAGTCAGCGGCAGAGGCAGCAACCGAAGGAGCAGAAGAGGCAGCGGCAGAGGCAGAAGCTGAAGCTGCTGCTGAAGGTGCCGGAGAAGCAGCGAGAATTGTATACAAAGTTGCACGTGCAGTAGAGAAGCTGAGCAAATTTACTAAAGAGTTCTTTGCCATTGATGCAGTATTTAAGACTGCTGAAAAAATTCTCCAGTCTATTGTCGGCGCCGCTTCCAGTCAGAAAATTGAGAAACTGGAAAAATTAATAAAAATCTTGAAAGATATGGGAAATAAGCTGACGACAATCACAAACTGGATAGACGAACACAAGAACGACACTGTAAAGCTTGATGGTATCGATGTCCCAGTGGATTCCGGGGTTCTCGCCAAATTCATGACGCCACTTTCAACAGTAAGTTACAATGTTATTTCGTGAGTGAAAACCAACCTATTTACACTGCTATCCTAGCACCTTATATCCAGGAGTTTTTGGATTGGATTGGATTTATTCGGTGTAAACACCAAGGATAGCCCACAAGTCTAGAAGAAGACTTGTTTCCAGTGGGGTCCTTCTGGTTGTGATTGGGCAGTACACCAGGAGACAATCCCCTACTCTTTTCCGAAGAGTGTACGGTACTGCGTTCTTTGCACATGGCCATAATTGCACATGGGACCAATGATTTAAACGTCTCATCCGAAAGAAGGTGCGCTATTGTAACTTGTATTTCAGCCCTCTAGCTGATTTTCGGCTATCTAGAAGTCCCATTTTTTTAAAATCGCATTTTGGGAGGAGGGGACATCCCCCTCCCATAACCACCCCAGCTCGGGCTTTCGGCCCTCAGATAACACTGCACGCTATAGTTACACCCTTAAGTAGTTACCCCCTCTCCAAGTCGGACATCTTATCTTAGCGGCCCCCCCCCCCACCAAAAAAAAAAATTATATCCTAGAGCCACCACTGCTTATATCCAAACTCCTGTTGTTTGTCCTATTTTGCATGTAGCTTTTAATCGGCACATAAAAGCATTCATTTATTTATTATTGTGCTGCTCTCACTTATGCGTTGCTATGCGTTGTAGCTAAGCAGCCAGATAACCATTAACTCAAAATTCAATAGAACACAAGATGCAGGACTAGTATAACGTTTCCAATATCTTTTAAATTCCGGACATCTCAGTTGAATCAGAATCAGAGTTGTATTGTGTGTGGTAAAACTAGAAAGATATGAATAAACAATAACATACTTACATTTTCAAGTGATGAGTCTTAATATTATCTCTGTTGTAGTAATTAACATTAGAATATACAGTAATGAATGAACACGCTCAAAGCTGTACAGTGTTTACATAGGTCCAAGTCTAAACAGTAACAGGCTTACGTAATGTAAAGTAATAACATTAATGCTATGCATAGAGATGAGGGCGCTGTTCTATAACGAACAGATTCTAGCACATGCTTCACAAACTTATAGTTTCGTGTAGAGCGGCACCGAGTCGATGTAGATCAATGCAGATACAACTTATTGTACGGCCAGCACAACACCGCCACTGCTAACACAGTCTAGCCTAGGCTTACGGCCTATAGGCTATAGACAATATAGATAATATGGGCTAGCTAACAAGGCTAAACGACAAGGTCTGCCTTTTACCAATATTAACCTACTCATATACCATTTTAATACAACTGTAAAACACTTACAGACTATAAACTAGCTCAGGCAAGGAATATAAGAGGATCCAAATCAAATCAGCGTAACATGGTTATGAGATCAACATGACGGCGTACATGCCCACCAAAGATTTTACAAACACAAGATAGCGTTCTCCGCGATTTACGCGCGCAAATTCTGTAATAATTCATGAATGGCGCCCTCTTGCTAAATTGGAAACTTTTGACCCTTGACCGCTCGGACCATACCGTCACCTCGCGACTTTTTACCTTGGGTGGTATCAATGCTGTGAACAGAGAACAGGAACCATCTCAGATCCATGGCAACAGATAGGACGCCCTCTTCCAAAACTGATTTCTAGTTTTCTCTTTGGTATAATAGCGCATGAATGGCGCCCTCTTGCTAAATTGGAAACTTTTGAACCTTGACCGACGCTTCTATTTGTTACGCCATATATATAGAGTTGCGACATTCCGCATTTATATTTTTATTTATAGGCCTATATATATTTATATATGTGTTGTATATTTATTTGTATATTTATTTATATATATATTTATTTATATATGTATTTATATATATTTATATATTATGTTTATATATTTATTTATATAATTATTTAATTTTTATATATATTGTTTTGTATATTTATTTGTGTATTTATTTATATATTTAAATATATTAATATGTTCATATATATTTTTTATATTTAAATATATATATATA